ATACTGGTCCCCAGCACCACGGAGAGGTGCCTGCACATTGCTATGGAGCCATAGCAAGTCATTGGCGAGCCAAGTCTTGCATGACTGGGCGCATTTTTACAGTCACAGGGCTCATTGGCTGTGAGGGAGCACATTTTTACATACACAGGGCTCATTAGCTGTGAGGGAGCGCAAGTCTTACATCGCTGGACTCGTGGCAGCGACATCCGTGGTCACGGAAGCTCTGGAGTCCTTGGTTACGCAGCATCTCCCTGCGAGGATTGTTGTTCACGCAGACCTATCCTGGAATTTCGCACTTGGCTGATCACTGCTTATCTGACTATTTCCATATCGGCTTTAGCAGAGCAAGGGTCCACCTTCCGACTTCCCCGAAATTATTCCACCCTTAGCTTCCCTGCTCCACTATTGATCGAGTTCGGTTCGGGAGAAGCCTTCCGGGTGTTCCAGGCCATCCCGTGGCTTACAAACTGTAGCTTTGCTTCTTCAGATCATCAAGAGGAGGACAAAACCAGTATTACGCAGGCTTAGTCAAGACACATCGAGCGAAGGCACATGTTTTTCGGTAATCAGATCTCGTAAAGAGGTATTCGAAAACAGATTACCCTAGACACACTTGTTTTCTTTCTCAAAGACCCAGTAATGGGCCAGGTCTAAATCGCCAAGGTCTGAAAATACAATGAGGCCAATCATACATCTATGTTGCCTCCAAAAGGAAACAATGCCTAGTCGTATATAGCTTAGCGTTATCATAGTGGGGCTATGGGGCTATGAATGTGTATTTGAGGTAATCCACTAGACTGAAAACTCCGATTTTTAGGTGACGTTATATTGGGATCAACAGCCCGGGCTGGGGGCTAAAAAATCATAGCAAGAAGCTCCTTTTAAATCGCGTCGACTTGACTGTCAGTCAATATTTGAAAAGTTTGTTCTTCCGAAGACATCCCTCCGGTCGTTGCCATTGCAACCACAAGGACGAGTCGGGAGGAAGCCAAATTATTTGTGTTCTTGCCTCATTCTCCATCTTCTATCTGGCTTGCCATAATGCCAAATGCAACCAAGTCCAGTCGAAATTTGACTGATTTGTGTCGACCAGTTAAGAGACGACGTCTTCAACGTGAAATCGATACTATTCTTTCGGTGAGTCAGGCACTTCACCCTTAGTTCCCTCCTAGAAGACAAACTAACTCTGCTAGGAGTCCGATGGAACAATCGAGGACCACCAGCTTTGCGACCATTTGATCGACACCACTACAGATTCAAATAAAAGGCTCAGATCCGAACTCGCAGAAACCCGGGGGCAATTGGCAAGAGTTCAAAGAGACTACGATGAACTGGAATCTGATCACTCACAGTGTCCCTACTGGATTCAGAGGAACGAGTCTCTTGCTACGACTTTGGATGATCGTTGCGAGAAGCTCGAGAAAGAGAACGAAAGACTCCAAAATATTTGCGATGAGTTGACCTCTGAAATTCGACATCTTCGTACTCAAAACTACGATGAAGTCGACAATACGGATAGGGAGGGGCAGGATGATATTCAGTAACCATTTCATGAATGAAAGTCGAGTGATATTCGCAATTGGTTATTTTTCTTGGTCCGAGCTGCTCACCGGCTGAAGCTTTAGTTGAAAACTATGAGAGGTCAGATCGACCACAGAGGGGACGAGTACGTTGTGAAACGACTTCGTGCTCACTACAAGGATTAATAAGATTCTGTCCAACCATCGCCCCTTCTTCGCATGACCAAGCGTCTGGCAGTAACGAAGAATGCAAATATGGAGATGGCTATCACCAATTGCAGGACATCTTCGTTAGCTGACCGGCAAGGCCTTAGGATCGAAAGGTGATTGAAAGGCTCGTCACTCTTAGTGGAACGAAAACGATATGAGATCGTTGGTGTAGCAACCGAATGTGATATGCAGGCTACCCCCGGTTATATATTACTTTCCTCGTAGTGATACTTTGAGTATCGCGTTCCGCTTCTTAAGCGCGCTTAGGGTCACGCCAAGGCCTGTCATGACCGCCTAATATCCGTGGTCACAGCTATGCTGCTTTCATGGCGCGCAGCTCCGAAATCGGTTTGACGCTTCGACGGAGTCCCAAGACCACTTCTGCAATCTTGGTCGTGGAAGGACTGTAGAATCTACCCTGTGCTGCTTTTCCATATTATCCAACTATTTGGATCTACTGTTGGACATGTCGCCCACTTCCCCTCGCAACTCCCTCGGTAAATCCCTCAACCTTGGCAGTCCAGTAGGATGTGATCGGTTCCTAGGTAGGGATCCAGAGAGCCGCCGTGTTTAACTCACTGGTAAGATGCGGCCGATCTGGCCCACGTGACTACCTATTCCTACTGCCCAAAAGATTTAGGTGGAAAATCAAGAACGGGAGGCATTTTAAAGAGACTATCCACGAGCATAGGGAGCTGGTCAAGGGAAATGGGCAGGTAGCTCTTTACTTTCCAATCTTCGTAGTATGATCGACGATCCATGGCTCCAGCGTGGGGGCCAAAGTTAGAGAGGCCTGGCCAATCTTTAGGCGCTGACGGTGATCGAAACGGTCGGGATCTGCCGCAGCAGGGCCATATTCCGTACAACAATTTCAGAATTTGTGGAAAATAGCTAAAGGCATTGAGAAGCTCCTATCCGCACTACCCGATACGCCATACCGGCAGGAAGTAAAAGCGAATTCTTTGGGTTTGTCCATCGTTTGGTTGTACCCTGAGAAAGATACTTGGTCGCTAGTGGGTAGCCGGGGCAAATTCCGATATTCCCGATACGCCAAACCATCAACGGCCCGCGTGCCCGGAGATTGACTGGAATTATCTTGACCCTCTGGAGACTGTATATGGTTTCCGAGACCTACATCACTTGCTGCAATGGTAACATAGACCCTAGCGGTTTCCTAAGGATGTGGTCTTGCGCATTGGTGTACTGCATAGGGGCAGGTTAAATGAATTGAGCTGAGCAGTCCGGCTTCCTTTCTTTCGTTAACCTCTACGGTCAAGCGCTTGGGACGCGATTGTCTTTTCTTTTTCACCGAGGTAAATGATATATCAATCACGTCGCCTGTCCCTCTTTATCATACACGTTGAGTTTTTTTCAACATGCCCTCCTTGCTTTCACTTCCTCCAGAGATCGTCGCGCAGATATGTGGTTACCTCGCACTTAACGACCTACCTAGCGTTTATGAGCTGGCCCTAACAAGCAAACATTGCCACGCCACCGCTAGCAAATACCGGTTTCCCCATGTCAAACTTACTATCGTGACTGTGGATCCCAATCCGGGGACTCGGAGTTGAACACCAGGCTTTGGATTTTTGGACGACGCCAGCGGTCTTCCATAGCTGCATATTTTCATTCTTACGAAAATATTTTACTTTTACCTCAATCCAAGTTCAATTTCGACGAGGGGCCAGGGGAAATGATTTTACACACACATACTGTACCTCCAAGCGGGAAACTAAAAATAATACACCTCCTGGCTGAGTGACGAGTCGACAAATACAGTGATATTACTTGAAAGGTGGGATATCATGGCAGGTATCTAATAAAAATACAGTACGGTTACTGGCCTCCAATATTGTGGAAAAAGCAGATGGCATTAGACTTTGATGTTCGCGAAACATGAAGCAACTGACTTATGGTAGAGCTACCAAACTAAGGAAGGGGGAGGCTTGGAACAAAAATCAAAAGTCCACCACTCACTTGCGTCCTCACACAGCGAGTGAACTAAGACTTAAGAGACCGAAAATGACAACTTTAAGCGTAGGCAAACAATGACCGTTGACTGCCTTCATATCTAACAATCCATTGTAGAGCTCGGGAAGATCGACGAATCCGAAGAGGTCGCAGCGGTCGATGCCGCTGCCGCAACTGACACATGGCCGGATGTAGCGTCAGATGAAGTTGGCAGAGGTCTTGTGCTTGAAGTCGAGGTACATATACTGACACCGACGGTACAGGAGCTGCCCTTTTGAAGAGATTTATGGATTCTGCAGCTCGCTTCGTCTCCCTGGTCGTTGTGAAAGTAAAGCAGACCACTTTGATACACTTCAACCCACGCAGAATGTTGGTAAGAGCCACACAAATTGACTTTAACTGGGTTGGACTCGGATCTTGTATCATAGTGTTTTGTACTCAGATCTTGAAGCTGTTAGAAATGCTCTTCATCGTCAGTGGGTTTCTTACTGGAGCAGAAGGCGCCTTCAAGAGGTGCAAATGGCTCTGAGACACCAGTGCAGTTGAAATTTTCCGTGGAATACATGAAGCACTGGCCTTCATAGTCAATGATCTGAAGGGTCCCTCCGAGAGCCACTGAGATGGAAGTGAAAAAAGCCAGCAAAAGACTCATGTTCATACTGATCTTAGAGATGGACTATCAGAGTTCAGTTGAAGAATTGGGTTGTTTGCTGCCACGGTCATGGGGCGTCGTGCGCATGGGCATTTATAGTCTCAGCTCAGCCTCTATGGTTTGATTATAAACCATGTGCCATTTATAAAATTGAAGCCTATGCGGCCAGCAAGAACTTGACCTAGCTGAGACACCGCATATATGTGGAAAGAATGGCGTAGCTGCAAAAAAGCGATGCACAAAGAGAAGCTGTGGTTTTGATTGAAGGTGGTTACACAGTCAAATTAGAGTAGGAAGATATCAGTTTGCGATCTAATCATCTGTCAGTCGTTACATGAAACCGTTGTGAAAGTCTCACCGTAGGTGGTGCATCCCATTGGTGGTGAAAGTTTCGACAGTCAGAAACGACTAGGCTACGGTTATAGCGGGCTCATTTCCTAGAGCACTTGGAGCGTTTTAAAAAGCATAAAATCCATATATCAAAAATAAATGAGGCCTAATCAACCCTTATGAGCTATTTTCAGTAACTGATATGAAACAAGTAAAAGCATGTGATGGTTACTGTAAGTAGGAGTGTCTGACGGACCGCAGGAAACCCGTACGAGGTATTAATGAGGGAGCCAACCATGAGGCAAAGTTGATGAATCGTGTTGAGAGGATCTATATCTATAAAATTCTGGGCATAATACACTGGGTATTCCCGAGTTGATCTGGTTGACCATACGAAACATAAGATTGAATTTGAGTGCTGCCGATTCTGCCTGGCTTAGTGGTTCAAGACCACTCTCAGTCTCCGAATGAATATCTTTGCGTGAATACGGGAAGATTCAAAAGGCAAGTACTGCGTAAAGTTTCTCGCTTGACGATCGTGTTGAGTATCACGGTGGTCAAAGCATATGGCGGAGACCACTACCAAGAGATATGTAAATAGATGAG